CTGACGCAGCAGAAGTCCTCCGCAGAGATCTTCATGAGGAGAAGGTTGAGGACTATTCACAACTTGATGCTACCGAAAACCACACCACCACTAGCGCGAACCACGTCCCGGAAGCTACCCACATACAACGTTGGATGCCCAGTATTCGCTCGAGACTACAGAGCAAATCGTGATCCTTGGATTGAAGCACGTGTGGTTAGAACGAAAGGTAGAGTCATGTACGAGGTCGAGGTAGGAGCAAATAGGTGGACGAGGCATCGAAACCAACTACGCAAGCGTTCAGCATCAGCGTGCACAGCAACCGAAGGAAAGATTCCGCTGGACATATTGTTGGATAAGTTCAATCTGCCGGTCGCCCCTACACAAGAAGAAACACAAAAGGTTGATCAAAGGACCCGAAGATGGTCAATGCACCAACGGCGACAGACAGTTAGAATGCAGGTGGACCCAAAGAATGTCCGTTACTAAAAATAGGAGGTGTTGGGGATGTCAAATCCCCAGAACTTACTTGGTAAATGGCTTAGTTTTGTAATTTTATTTTGGAAATTTGAATTTACCTGTTTTCGCGCCAAACGCGCTCTTTTTACCTTCACGTTCTATTTCCCACTTGTAAACTATCTTAAACGCTATTGGTCCATTGTTTCTTTGTGTGTGCTATTTATTAATGATGCTCAAGGACAATTTGTTGCTATATAAATACGCTTGACTTTTTACCTTATTTGATTGCTTGTACTCGGCTGCTTACGGAATACATATATTCCCCTACTTGCCTTGGACAACAGATTAGAATAGCTTATCGTGTCATTGTGTCACTGGCTTTTGTTTGTTACCGCAGAATAGATTTAGATCAAGCATCAATATCAGGCAGCAAATAGTTGCTTAGTCGAAACAAATCAAACAGTCTACTACATCTAACAGCAATGTAAAAACTTGAGGGTTTCTTGCTGAAGTCTCCAGTGTCAACATTACGATTTTCATAAGCCAGTCGAGCTAGGCCATATGGACATTGTAGAAGGAATTCATAAAACACTAATAAAAAGCTATATACCCTTCTCCTAATATCGCTAATTAACATTTTGTTAAGATAGCCAACATAAATGACACGAATTTGTACAGCCAGTATTCAGATAGTTTGGCTGTATCTGGAAAAATGTGACAAAAAAATGCTTACGTAAAAACAAATAGTTGTTTCTCTAGGAATGAACACCCATTAGTATGTAAAGTAAGATCCATTTGGAACGTTTTGTGTGTGAAAATCCCTCCATGCATACATTTGCAGCATTTTCTGATTGGTTCCTTTAGTTGTACATTTTGTTAGTCTTTTTGATGCCATTTGAGATTCATTTCATAATAGTTTACTCATTTTCTCTTTCGCTTTCACTGAGTGTCTATGTTTCTTTCTGAACTGTATCTATGTTGTTTTAGTTTATATTTAATCATGGTGGCAGGCATTTGATTGTTCCCTCTTTGATTGTGTTGCTTGATTTGACTGGATCGTGCATTTTGGTTGTGAATTGAAGCACTTTCCCAGAATTGGAAACACTTTGTGTTATAAAGCAACAAACCGTTATCTTTTGAACGGATTTTTACTTGATCTATCCAGAAAGGATACAATAACACTTATTTTTTGGTGCGTTCGATCGATTATTGTGGGAACAACTATTGGTTGAATAACTGAGTGGTCATATTTGCTTGGAACCGTTGTTTCCCCGATCACCTTGTTCCGACTTCAATCGGGGTCCACGCGTCTCTTCTCACCCAGATAGTTATTCTTCAGCTTAACTTAGTTTGGATCTTACAAGTAACATCTAAGTAAAGTTGGGTTATCTGCAACAATGATCACAGATGGTCAACTACACAGTAATTCTTTGCTACACGGAACTTAATCTAAAGAAATGAAATCAGAATCATGAAGTCAACCTTGGAAACACTTATTCGAATAATGGTACACTAAATAACACCTTTTACATATTCCTGTTATGTCATTTCACCTAATACATCATTTTACCTCAAGAGTAAAATCAATAAAAAGGATGAATATAAAAACCATAATGTTTGTTTCAGAAAAGTTAGAATGTTTGTCGTTATTCAACGTGCTGTTGTTACGAATTGAGAGATGTCAAACTGAATATGAGCCTTCAAGGCATAGCATTTATCCTGACAGAATCACCATATACTTTTATAAACGCATCAATCATTACACTTTTGTCTGGTATATTTAGCATCAGGCTTGACGGATTCTACATCGTGAATCTAACGGCTATGGAACGCGTATACGACATGAAGATTAGATTTGTAAAATGTGATCCTGATCTTATATTAGCGGAATAAATATAAGTGGCTACTATGCACAAGACAAAACACGTGGTAAACTATTACATAAGATTTTGTCTCCGTGTAGGCTGATTTCTACTTGGCAATGTTCAAGCTGTTAAACTCATGAATAGCCACATTATTTTCAAGTACACACGTTTTGCATATCCAGACAGTTAAACGTTATATAATATCTTTCGCACCAGATCTAGATATCATGCTGTATATCACGACGATTAAAATGAAGACAATCTTCGTTGTTTATGTAAGTGGGTTGATTACAGGCGTACTGATATATGAAGTTATTAGCTAATATTGTTTGTAATATTTTCAAGTTTGTGTGATTGTGTTCTTATGTATAGCTTCCACGTGCTTCCATGTTAACGAACCTAAAATAAAATAAAGACGTGTAAATGAATGTAAGATAAAAAGTTTATGATCTACTACCAATATTTTTTAAATCCTTCACGTTTCGTAGATTAATTACATATTGACTACCATTTATTTTGTTTATACAACACCACAGTTTGGTAGCTGATAGATATTCTGCGATTTAAACTGAATATTAGTATAAATTATCTATACAGAATATAAAGAAGATTTAGAATGAGTCGCCATAAGGACTATACAAGAAGTATAATACATACAACCATTAAGTATAATTAAATTTTTAGTACAATATGTTTTTAGTCTTATCATTCACTAACTAATTTAGGCTATGGCTAAGCCAAATATATCTGGCTAAAGAATGCCTACTATGGAGGATGGTTTGTTTTAATACACATGCAACAATGAAGTGACCAAACAATATGTATCTCTGAAACTTTTTTAAGCAACTTTAGTAGCTCGAAACGTGACTACAAACAACTGTGACAAACTTGCTTAGTCACGTTAAGTCGGTACAAGTTAGCTTCAGGCGTGTGACGAACGGCACGAAAACATGACAGGAAGAAACAGCAAATAGGGCAACTTCATGGGATGGCTTGAACACTACATCGAAAATAACCTCCCGAACTACCCTCTGTGACCACTGAGAGAACAGAAAACTGCACTATATGAAGCACTATGTTTACATGACATCATGAAATATACATCTACTTGACACCACGGACCAAAACGACTATTGCCACTGTCGCCAGAAGAGTACAGGAATTTCTAAGCAACTGCATGTCCAAGATACTACAGATTCATTGGCCAGGGACGATAAGTAATAACAAACTGTAATAAAGGGAAAACCAGATGCTAGCTGATTAAGAAGTTGAGAAAAAACACTGAAGGTGGATTGGACACGTCAGGCGAAAGTCACCAACCCGCATCACATAGGAACTATAATATTCAGGACTGAACATCTGTCTGGAAATATAAATTTGTTCGGATCATACTGAAAATAGAAAACATGGATGGTGAACAACAAAATTAATGACAAATATCATTCGACTGATGTCACGTGCTAGTCATCAATTCGTAAACACGGAAAAATAAGCATCCATTTGTACGGTTTGCTTCGACAGCATGAAGAGAATTGTAAGTCTAGCTCTGTTTTAAAAGCTAATAGTCCCATATATTGAGGGCGGCTTAAGAGATGAATGGCAATGTCACACTCTTCAATTAAAGATCATTGTCACCAAAAGAGAATAGTAGATGATACAAGGTGATATTCATTGTGATTACAACATTATTAAAACTTACGCTTCACCATACATCGAACTTTCAGAACATCAACTTTTTCTCAATCCACTCTATAACATTTTTTTCACCCTTTTGGTTCAGTATGACGTGAATAGTTCATAGCACATTGATGACTCAGAAAGTCTTACTTTATAATCTCAGTATCAGCATCTACGGAGAAAATGTGAATAAGGTAGGTTTTTGCTCTTTAAAATACAGTATTTTGTGGGAAACCTGATTTAAAACTGAATTAAACTTAGACCTTTCTGTCTAACAAATCAGAAGAAAAAAACACCAGTATCGCATTCAGTAATAAAATAATCAGTCTATGGACCGAAAGCACAAAATACTCAACACTTAATTTTGTGTGCACTCTTCCGTGTTTTACTCTAGATAGATGGCGTCTTATGTATAGTTCAGCCACGAAACATCCGATGTAGTTAAAAATACCATAGGCTAGATAACATTCACATTTTTCCCCCACTTTTTAGGCCTACAGGTTTAACGGCACTAGTCCAGCCGAATCGGGTTTGTTTCTCAACCCCATGTACCTTTCAGGTTTGTCCCCTCTAACATTGTTTCAGTACAAAAAATACTTTTTGAGGGAGAATGAAATGATAAGAGGTTTTTTGAGCAGGATCTCAGGTAAATAAATGAATCAGATCTGAACAGTCCAGAGGCCAGGTTACCTGTAATACTGAGGAAAAACCTACTCGTACTACTTGACTTATTATCTTCAGCGTACCAAGGAAAAGATACCATAGATTCCCCACGGACTGTCATCAAAGACTTTTAACAGAGCAAGATTTATGGTGCTGATACCTTTTTAAAGTCACGAGGTGGAGATTGTGATGAAGTTGGAAAAGAAAGCTGCGCTCTTTAGAATTGACATCACTGAACTCGTCAAAAATTGTCTGAGCAGGCAGCACCGATACTATTAGCAAATTTTAATACACAGAAGCTTTATATGCACCAAAATATGTATTAAAACGCTTTAAACTAGTCATTTGTTTTACTGTAAATATTTAAGTTGGTTGAAGATATTGGATAGTGAAATTGTTGTGATTGTTTGTTCGTGTTGCTTACGAAACGTTGGCGATCCAATTGATGCTCGCAATATGTCAGCTACTGATCAAATCCGTGCCCTTTTGGATGAATATATGGGAACAACCCGAAACGGTAAGTTATCTCCTCAAAGATTGTTGCTTGATATGTATTGTCAAATGGCCCACGACTTTCTAAGTGCGTAGATAAGGTTTTTCTGAGCTTTGCACTCAATTTGTCTCTTCATTATTTTTAAGGTGTTCATGAATGTGTTTGTGCGGTTGAATGTCAATTCATGTAAGTAAAGGGTCTCAGGGTTATTTGATGGTTTAGATATTAAATGTAAATGCATTAATTTTTCCTATTCTATGAAAATTGTTGACCGCATATACTGGTAACGCCTATTTAGGACAAGAACCAAGAATAGAGTTTGATAATCCTCGCGTCTGTAAAAGTTATCTACTGGATTGTTGTCCAAATGAAATATTATCTGGAACGGTAGGTCTTTGATTATATTAACCATGTTTAGCGAATGGACTTGGGAAACTGCCTTTTCATACATGACCCTGCTCATAAGGCAGATTACCGCAAAGAACCAGACACGAAAAAATTTCAGTATGAGCTCGATGTAAGTTATCTTGATATATGTGTATTTTGAAGGCACTAGAGCATTTAGAGGCATTCATACGGGACTGCGACCAACGTACAGATGTTGCGAAAGCAAAGCTGCGGGAGACTCAGGAGGAATTAACAGATGAAGCTTCTCAAAAGGCTGAACACATAAATCAACTAAGCGAGCAAATAGGAACAAAGCTAGCTAAGGCTGAACAGCTTGGGGCGGATGGTCATGTTGAGGAGTCTTTGAAACTTATGAAGGAGGTTGAAGAATTAAACTTAGAAAAAGCTAAAAGCGAAGCAGATTTACGGACTGCAATACCAACAAGCACCTACCAGCAACAAAAGCTTCGAGTTTGTGAAGTTTGCTCTGCTTATCTTGGCGTGCACGACAACGACCGTCGACTCGCTGACCACTTTGGGGGAAAGTTGCATCTAGGTTTTATTGAGATTCGCCAAAAGTTAGATGAACTGAGGCAGTATGTAAACGAAAATCATATCGTTCGTAGGCGCAGGTTTGAAGGATACAACCGCTCCCTTTTTATCACAGTGGAGGAAAGACGTGAAAAAGAGCGTATTCGCGAACGCGAACGTGAGCTAGAAAAAAACGAACGTCGTCAAAAATCCAGAAGTCATAGTCGTTCACGGAGTCGCTCTCATAGTCGGAGGCATAGTCGTCATCGTAATGGAAAACATTCCCACAGAAGTAGGAAGCGACACCATCGTTCTTCGAATCGAAAAAGTGAGGATCGTCACTGACAGATATTTTAACTCTTGTATCATATTATTTCCGATTCCTAACCTGTATTTATTTTTTCTTTAATGCATTATCCCAGTAAACTTGTTTCTGTGATCTGCATTCAGCTTTATCTTACGCGTTCAGTGTTTTATACTATCTATTTAAAATAATTTTCCATTCAGTGTTTATTGACATTGTGGAAATAGCAACCCATGTAGGCGAATATGTGTATATACCAAACTGATTTGATTTAAAGTCATACACCACTTCAATCCTGTGACACCAGTCTTTGGGGATCGGTTGGGTTCGCAATATAATATAGGCCGCCGCCACTTTTTTCTTCTGAGTTACAGATAGGTCGCAGAAATTTATGCCGATTTATTAGGGAATCAATAATGTGTAAGCAGCAAGTGTCTAGTCACACGCCGTGTGATGTAATCAGGTATAGTTATACTGTTGACTAGCCCTTGTGTCGGGATAGCACTCAGCTGTCCGAACTGAAGTAATAAAGCAGACCTCATTTTTTCCATAGGTGGTGCCGACAGCAAGTTTTGTAGAGGTATGGGTCATATCATATGCGGTACAGAATTTTCCTGAAGAGGAGCCCATGATTAACATTTCCAACGCGGCAAGGTATCAGATTAGCAGGGTATTCAGTGTCACATGTTTCTTCTTCAGGCCAATTCGGGAAGGTCCGCTCAACAAGAACTCCGAACATGTCACACAAACAGACCTAGCAATGCTGAGCCAACTACCACGCGCTGACGACCCCTGCAAAGACTTGGACTGAATTTCCCTTGAGTGAAATTAATTGTCATGTTGGGAACTGTATTGTTCCCTGATGGTCCTAATGTCTATCACAACTGGATTCCACAGCATTCCCACTGACACAGTGAGTTTTAACTAGGAACACCTCATTTGTCTTCCTTACAAATATGGGGGTCCTCTGTTTTCGATTGTGAAGACGTTTACTTCAACCCTAAGTTTGCCCTCAATAAATAGAGTAACAGGACGAGTTGGCTGAGTCACCTTATTTCATCTCAGTGGTGCTGACTAATGAGTGAGTAACGTCACGGTAAAGAGGAAAAATCAGTACGAACTATCCGCGTTGTTGACTACATTTGGTACAAACGGGGTGTTTTTTTACTGGTCAGCGAACGATTACATTCCTTACCATTCTTTCCTATATCATTTAGAGCCTGCTGTGAGCTTTTGTAAATAATCTTAGATCACCCGTACTTACTGAGAATTGTTTTTGAATTTATGCTCGCTTCCGGTGAGGTCGAGTAATTGGTCTAGAGATTGTAAGGAAAGTGTTACGCGGAAATCGTCGGTCCTTTTTAAGTACTCATTAACTTGGGTGGTCAGAACGTGTTTTGTGTATGCTCACATAGTACGTATGCAATTACGTTAGGATGGTTATTAAGAAACGAATACAACCCACTGATTCTCGGGTAATATGCTCAGCTTTAAGCCACACTATTTGGCAATGCATCTGGACGTAGGGGTGAGGGCCCGACGCTTCGCACACTGACCCACCATCTTGGCACAAAATATCTAGAAGGCGGACTGCCAGGTCACAAGATGTCTATAGGGTTACTGACGCTTAAACTAAATTGTACAGATTAGCTCAAGGCTGTGGATTCACAATACAATCTCTTAATTCTATGTTTTGCCTATTACTGCTGGTGGTCCACTTGCATGGATTTCATCCTCAACTGAAGCGAAGTCACACGAATTAACAGACACATATGTGTTACTGTTTATGTATTTTGTCCTGTAGGAACTACTAGCACTTAAATCTTCCTAAAGTTCATAGGTGTTGTTAAGGTGTGATTTGATAATTTCAAATAAATTGAGTATTGGGTAGATTTTTATAAATAAAAGTATGCATGGAGTATCCCAATGAGTAGAAAAACTAAGTTTAAATATTATTTAAACATGGGTTAATTTAATCTGTCTATTCATCCTCTGAAGTGACTTGTGCCGAGCCATGAAACGTCAGGAAATCTAAGAACTTAAATTTTCTACTCTTTGGGATATTACTTTCTGTGCTCAGTCATTTAGTGTGTCTATTCATACGTACCATTCTATTCACTCTCCTCGAACGATTTGTTAAACATTTGGTCCTTTCCACTATCAATGTCTTCACGATTACTTCGATTCAAGTGATATTCATCTTACCAACCCTATTTCAGTGCTGGTGTAGTATGACAACTTCAGCTAACGTCAATGCCAGAGTTTGTGTAGTTTATGACTGTTTGAGTTGACTTTCGCCGTGTCAACTTAGCGAAATTCGTGGGCAGTTAGGCTGGAGGTGTAAATTTGGCGAATATACCTAAACGAAGATATATGTAATGAATACGAACAGTTGAGCCGAATCATCAGTAGACAAAAATGCGATCTATGTAGTTCCATCATTAGATGATCATTGTCAATACTAAACGGTGCACGTAGTCATTGAAGCAAGACTTTAGAAAAATATGGTCAGATTTTAGGATTGAAGTAAGAAATATATGACAAAGCTACTTCTCGACATTGTAGACGGGATTACAAATAGATATGGACATATTTATATTGAAATATAAGTGTTCTTGACAAGTATATGTGTGATCAGATTGTTCGGAATGTATTGCGCTAATCTATCACATAGTTCTGACAAACTTTGACTTCGTAATTGTTGTATTAGGGTTTGTAAACAATACCTTTGCTTAAACTCCATAAAATAGAACAATTTCACTAAGGAATTATGTGTAGGGTCTTTTTTCGCTGAAACTGCGAGTGCACTTCCTGGCCGCAATAGAATACCGAGTTTGGTTCGAATTAATATAAGGGGTGCAAGTTGAAGAACCCCGTCAAATAGACAGACTACAATGCTTACTTAGTCCCAGGAAGTCAGCGTACGGAGGATAGGGTTCTGGCTTGGGAACTTTTGATAAATCTCATGCACTTATGATTGACTAACAGATGAGGGAAGCTTATCAATTAGAGTAAATTGAGAACCTTAATTAATGATTCCGAATCACCACTCATTTAGAGAATATATGCTGTATCATGTCTATCAATAATTCATAGTGGCCTTCAGGGCTATTCATAGTTCCCAGTTTGAACAATTTAATGCAATTTGGTAGCAATGTATCCTTATAACTTTGATGTTGAGTAAGATTGACTGACCTCAACACCACTTTGACTAGTGGTGGTCGGAAGTGTGGTTATCAATCTCTACAACAGGTTAAAGAGATATTAGGCCAGGGAAGCTGGAGCCTTCGTGAAAACACAGACATGAGCCTCTTAGGAAAAAAATTACCTGGTATGGTTGTGTATTGACCCCAGTTGCTGCCAAAATATAAAAGGACTGAAAAAGGCTGTATCCTTTTAAATTCGTTTTTGATGGAATGATAGTTTCATTCACCTAACCACAATAAAGCGTATGTTAACTGTAACTTTGTTTCAAATTCTTATCTGAAACAGATTTCATCATCATAACAAATGTTAAGACGGTATAACCAAACTACTGTTTCCCGTTATACTATTAAACATATGCTATTATGGGACAACTTCAATTGAAGACCTAGTGATATAATACGACAATACTCTGAAGAAAGCGATATTTGCTTAACTTCTATGAGCTCAAGCACCTTCCATAAATTGAAAAGTAGTGTGTCAGAAAGAGTTGTAGTATCAAGGGGGGAACAATATCTACAATAATATACTGTCTAGAGTGTTTTTAGTAATAGTTGAATGTTTTATTACTTCACCGGTATCTTATTTTGCAGGTTCTGCTTTCGTAATTGAATGATATACATGTTCCACAATATCACGGGGTGTGTGCATTTTCTCAGCATCCACATCACTTATTTCAAACCCTGAAAAAAAGTAAGGCGTGAAATAGGTGAGATATGAATAGATCGACAATGTACAAAAGCAATAGACGAACTTAACTAGAGAAAATGAGTTATAAAAAACAATACAGGTAGTATAAGGTAGACAAACTAAACTAAGTAGAATGTTTCGAACAGTAATGGTAGTTTATAAAAAAGGGATGAGACGTAACTCTTTACTTGTTGGAAATATTGGCTTCATAGGTTATCTATTTATTTACTTATCTGAACACATAAATATTGGTACAAGGGAGCATCGAGTACACAATGACAATGTAGTCGTGAAGAGACAGAGAATGTAAAGTGTGTATTATAAAAAGAAGAACGACAACGAATGGAAATTAGTGTATGCGAGTGAAATAATAATGATGATAAGAGAGGCAGTTCAGTTAGAGGATGATGAAAAGACATCGTGTCTGACTTTGATAAGGCTTTCTAGTCTAACAGTACATAGCTGACTGCTACAGGGATCCGATCGATCAGTACTGCCTGAGCACTAGCGCTTGGTGCAAGACCAACGCTCGCAAAACTGGATGGAGCCACAGAGTCGCCGGATAGACAAACATGAGACAAGCTTTTCAAAGCGACATATGGAGAGCAAATTCGTTGTGCTTCACTGGAGTCATGAATACGGGTCTTGGTTAGACGACAAATATCTATGTGGAGACATTCTAAAGACATAGCCAACCCTATCTGTTGTCCGATCTGTATTAGTGAGTGAACGTTGAATGAGGCCAGCTTGAATGGCATATGTGGTTTCAAAAAGACTGGTTCAATATTCATAGTTGGTGGTAGCATTCAGCTTTCGACCTGTGACTCGAGATCGTTTAGATAGGACAGGGTTTCTCAACACAGGCGAGCTGTTGTATAAGGAGAGAAGTGAAATAAGCGAGATGAGAATAACTTGCTTACGCCCGTTACCCCCAATGGAGCACAGTTGTGATCGCCATTAAAATTTCGGTCTCTGAGATTAGTTTAAATATTACTTACCTACTTACTTAAGCTCGTTCTATCCAATTTTTGTTCATTCTTCTCATGTCTCTCTCCATTCCTCGGCGTAATGTCTTCTTTGGTCTTCCTCTCTTTCGTTGGCCTTCAGGATTCCATGTGAAGCAGTTGGGTGCTTTCCTCAATGTATGTTCTATCCACTTCCAGCGCTTCTTCCTCCGCTGAAATCTGGTTTGTTCTCTCCCACAGTAGGTTGTTACTGATAGTGTCTGGCCAGCGGATCCGAAGTATTTTGCATAGACAACTGTTAATAAACACTTGTATCTTCTGGATGATGGCTTTTGTAGTTCTCCAGGTTTCCGCCCAATACAGTAGAACTGTCTTGACGTTTGTATTGAAAATTCTTGGTTGACAGTTGTTTTGAGTTGCAAATGTTCTTCAGTTGTAAATATGCTGCTCTTGCTTTGCCGATACCCACCCTTACATCTGCATCGGATCCACCGTGTTTATCAATGATGCTGCTCAGATATGTAAAGGTTTTTATATCCTCAAAAGCTTCCTCGTCAAGTGTAATTAGATTGATGCATGCTGTATTGTATCGGAGAATCTTTTCCCTTTGTGTATGTCGAGACCTACTGCTGCTACACTGGTCGTCTCCAGCATTTGTCGTTGCGTGTGTGATAGAAGAGCCAAGTCATTTGCGAAGTCTAAATCTTCCAGCTGCATCCCATCCCCCCAGATGTTGACGTCTTTATGATCCAGTCGATCACTAAGAGAAAGGGTGAGAGTAAGCAACATTGCCTAATACCGGTTTTTACCTCAAATGAATCGGCGAGTTGTCCTCTATGCACGATTTTGCAGTTCAATCCATCATCGAAATTCCGTATGATATCGACTATCTTCTTAGGCACGCCATAGTGTTGTCTTGTCCACCCTATCAAATGCTTTCTCGTAGTTAAAAAAGTTAATGCAGAGTGATGAATTCCATTCATTCGATTGTTCCACAATGATCCGTAGTGTTGCGATTTGGTCTGTACACGATCGATCCTTACGGAATCCAGACTGTTGGTCTTGAAGTTGGGCATCAACAGAGTCCTTCATTCTGTTTAACGACACCCTGTTGAAGACTTTTCCTGGTACTGAGAGAAGAGTGATGCCTCTGTAGTTATCACACCTGCGGAGATCGCCTTTTTTGTTATTTTGATCAGAAGTCCTTCCTTCCAGTTTATTGGTACTTGTTCTTTATCCCAAATCTTACTGAAGAGAATGTAAAGTATTTCTGCAGCTACAGCTGCTTTCAGTGTCTCTGCCGGAATGTTGTCTGATCCTGCTGCTTTGACGCTCCTGAAATGCCTGATGGCCATGCTGATCTCTTCAATTGTTGGTGGGCCAACATCGATTGGGAGGTCTGTGGGTGCTGCTTCGATGTTGGGTGGGTTCAGCGGAGTTGTTCGATTCAACAGTACTTTGAAGTGTTCTACCCACCTGTTTCGTTGTTCTTAAATGTTGGTAGATTACCTTGCCTTTCACTGGTCGTTTTGGTTTACGATAATTTCCATCGAGCTTCTTTGTTGTATTATACAGCTGTCTCATGTTTTCCTTCTCTTGCAGCCTTTTCCGCTTTCATTGCTAAATCTTCCACATATTTACGTTTGTCAGTTCTGATGCTCCTCTTCACTTGCCTGTTTACTTCTGTGTATTCGGCTTGCGCCTTGGCTTTTTCTGCTCTTGTTCGGCTGATATTGATTGCTGCCCTCTTGTTCCTCCTTTCCTCAATCTTGTCCAGTGTACCAACAGTGATTCATTCCTTGTGATGGTGCTTCATGTGGCACAGAACCTCATGATATGTTGAAATGATTGCCTCCTTGATCCCGTTCCAGTTGCTTTCCATAGCGGTTTCTTCTCTATTGAGTAGATCATGAAAGGCCTGGAACTTATTGTTGAGGGATATCTTGAATTTGTTGCATTTGTCAGTATCCCGAAGAAAAGCTGTATTAAGCTTTCGTGTTGTCCGCCCCGTTGTCCAGTGCTTCCTAAGTTTTTATTTCATCTTGGCGATCAGCAAGTGATGATCTGATAGGTAGGCGCGTAGCATTGGATGACGTTTATTGTAATGCACACTTTCTTTGTTTTGAAGTAGGCTTTGACGATCCTTGATCCATGAGATTCCCATCTTATACGTGTTTTTCGTGCTTGCTTAGACAGTAGTAATCATCATTTGGTTTGTGTATGGGCTAGGATACTTCCCGGGCTCCCAAAACGAAGCTAAGTAAATCACCTGCTTCGGTTTTGGCATCAGGGCAGTACCGTAGCTCAAACACAAAATTAATAAATACAACAAGCTCGTCTCGATTCTCATTCTCGCAAATTATATTCACAATTGTTTAGTGATATTCATTTTTACTCCTATTTTCTTTATTTCTAAACTCATACAGTAGCTAGCCTAGAGTGTAAACTCAATTCTGTTGATAAGATCTAAAGCCATTGACCGGTCAAAAGTTGAATGCTACCACCAAATACAAATATTGGGCCAGTCTTTTTGAAACCACATATGATAGTCAAACTGGCCTCGTTCAACGTTCACACACTAATACAGATCGAACAACAGATAAGGTTGGCTAAGTCTTTAGAATGTCTTCACATAGATATTTGTTGTCTAATCGAGATCCGTATTCATGACTCTAGTGAAGTACTACAAACTTTTTCTCTATATGTCGCTTCGAGAAGCTTGTTTCACATGCGTTTATCCTGGAACCCTGTGTAAAGTGTGGTCGATAAACCGACCCACCACCATATTGTCTTTCTTTGACCTTGTTTGACTATGCTTTACTTACTCACCTATCACAATGTGATGTTTATCATGAACGATATTAAGTTCGTTGACTCCCCTTTCCTATCCTCTAGTTACTGTCCGGCATGTTATTTATGCCTCTCTTTTACCGTTTAAAGACTGTATTAATTTTTTAAATCTTGTATACTAACAGTGTTAATTTACGTTTTAGAAACAAATAAAGTTTATTAAGCCAAATAGCTTACTCGTTCTGACTCTGTGCTTGACAGTTAAGAGAACAGTATAGAATGGAATATGTAGGAAATCACTTTCTGAATCCTGTGACAACATCAGATTTTATTGGTATTAGTGTCATACTAGGCGCCGAAGTTGAAGTAGCACTAATCCACTGTATCTGCATCAAAAGACGACTATTTGCTATATCAAAGAGAGAAATCGGTGTGAGAAACGATATCTCCCCGTCCGTTTTCGCCTGCACCCCGACAGACTAGTCCTGGTTGGGGTCCTTGGAAAGTCATTAGATATGGTTTAGAATAGAAGATAATGCTGATCCTGTTGTAATTTTCTTCATAAAAGTGAGAGGGACTTCTGTAACAGAAAGATTCCTTTCTGCTTATGTTTTTCTTAACGGAATTGCATCCCCCATTATTTTGTACGCTCATTTATTTAGTTTAACTTATCTATTATTCTGAGCCTCCTTTCTCGATCTTCACAATTTCATTTATCTCTGTGTGACGCATATATATTTTGGTGCCCATTTGTACAAATCTTTTTAAAAGATAAATAAATGGAATAAAAGGGTTGAAGAGATAGATTTGATTCGATAGAAATTTTTAGCACACTATGTAACCACATGAGTATAAATTAGGAGTAAAAGAAGGAAATTTTTAGACCAAGTTTAGTATAGAGAACAGGTTCGTCGAATCAAAGTAGATAAATGGTAACCATAGAGATGACAGTTAACTGACACTTAGAAACGTAAATCTTTTAATTAGATAAGTGTTGGATGACACATATTTCACGAATACAGAAAATATAAAAACATTGAAATAGATCAAAAAGGTGTGATAAGTTGTTTAAAATCTCGAATAATTAAGAGTGAGTCCATATGACAGTAATGTAAATCAGAATTTACCACTTAATATCATAAGATATCTTGAGTTTAAAACATTTAAGCGGTTCTTAAAATGTAGAGAACCATTTGGGAAACTTGCTACAAATGTGATGAATATATTCAAAACTATAC